ATAGTTCGAAAAACAGCCATTACACAATATATCATAACAACTGTTTAATATAATTGCTTCAACAATAATAATTATTCCACTTATTCATATTAGAACATTATGCATTTTTTATATTTACCTCCTGCTGGATAGTAAAAGTATTACCTTTCGTTGTCCAAAGATAAGCCATCTGCACAATCTTATGTCCACCCAATTCTCCAGCCGTGTGCACGTATTCCAAAAATGTATTTTTGGTGGGCGAAATCCTGTGACCTACAGAACACTTAAACCTATATCTCAATTTTCGTGAATAATCTGATACTCGGTACAACGGTCTACCACAGTCAGTGGCGTCACGAGCCTATTTTTTTGGGGCAATTGCCCCAAATAATTTTAGGTGGGTGGGTGGGTAATTTTGTTAGATTATAACAATATTTTTTAATTTAACTATCACTATTGAATAACTAACATGGTACTGACCACGGATTATTTACCCTAAAGATATATCTGTTGTACTAACACACTAATACATTGAATTTTATTTAGTGTGGTTAATTCATTGTAATCATTATTGACATGGTTATGAATGCTATGATGAGATATTCTAGGATTTAGTCTAGGATTCTATAGAGTATATATTCTATTCGTACCATCGTACCTATCTCGGTGGCGCAGATGGGATATTATTGTATTAAGTTTATCACGATGCAATTATTATACAAYATTTTTAAAAATAGATGGAAAATACGTTATTTTAATTTACGTTATCGTAATAATACAATATATTCGTCATATATTTAAACTGACGATGCATTAATATCAAACTATTTTAAGATGTTAGTGTTGCATGAGATAATATTATATTATTATGATGCGGGCTAGGAGCTACAACTATTCTAAAATCAAACATTTATTTCAATGTACAACCATTTTGCAGTGTGATGTGTATCTCTTATTGGTTATCCGTTTTTTCATCCACAGACACAGTACTGTAACTAGTAGTGTTCACACTTTCATAGTGTAGTACTGTAGTATATTTTTGTAATTTGTGTACCTATTCAAAATGTCGGAAAAATTAATTTGCATTTTTGGTAAAAAACGGGAACAGTTAAATTCTACCAATTGGAAAAGACACTTAAACAATTGCAAGGTACGAAAAYTAAAATGAGTTCAAGACTAATTTCTTCATTTTTTCCCACGCCGAAAAAAATTCGAATGGATGCAGGAACAAGTTATTCTTGTTTAGATGGTAAGTTTTACTTGGATAAATAATTTGTAACCATTTCAATATATTATAAATTATAATTATAGGTAATTATGAAAATTTAATTTACATCTGTAGGTATTTATTAAACTTTATTTTATATCAAATATATTGAAGAAATAATGATTGAAGTTTAAAATATTTTTAACCATTTTACTATAAAAAAAAAAACAACTTTTAGAGTATTTTAATTTTGTTATTAGGTATTACAACTGATATGATTAATGTACCACTAAAGAATTAATAGATGAAAGTATGGTCACCGCTGATCAAAGTGTTTTGAATGAAGATGTACCATTTAAACCAACTTTATGYGAGTCAAAATAATTTAATTTTAAACAAACCTAACATTTTTGTTTAATTTTTTTCCCCTCATTAAATTAAGTATATTAAGCTTTGATTTAATCTAAAATACATCAGTAATAACTGATTTTAGTTTCAGTATAATATACAAATAATCAAAGCTGGGCATTAACGAGTTAAAAGTTAAAATTAAGTTAAAACGTTAAGTTTATTTTAATTAAGTTAATTAACTCGTTACTTTTTTTCAAATTAACTTTAAACTTGTTACTTTTTTTTCAAAGTTAACTTTTAACTTAACGAGTTAACGAAAAAAATATGATTAACTTTTATTTTAAATTAACTTTATTATTTTAAAATAACTTAACTTAACGAGTTAAAAAAAAATTGTTAACTTGCCCAGCCTTGAAAATAATAACTTCTAGAGTAGTCTTATTGTTAATGTATCTATTTTAATTTTTAGATGATTTGTTGCAAGATAGTTCTACTGTTAATCAAAGTAATGTACATCCAATTTCTGCTTCAAAATATACATTTCCCAACGATCCAGCTATTATTCTAGAAACAAATGTTTCTAGTAATTTGTTGCAATATTTCTTTAAACTTGGTCAATTGGACCATGTCAACCAAGAGTACTAGATATACCCAGTTATCAATTTCCAATAACAAATGGTCGTTCGTTCCACGAAGAATACTATTTTAAAAAACTTCCTGATGAAAAAAATATTAGACGTCAATGGCTAGCATATTCACCATTCAATGATAAAATATACTGTTTCTCTTGTATGCTTTTAGGTTTAGTAAAGGCCAAACAAAACAAATTAGTTTCAACTTGTTCTCGAGATTGGAAACATATTACTTTAAGAATGTTGAACCATGAAACTTTAAAAGAACATTTAGAGTCTGAAATCAGTCGAGGTCAGTATTCGAATAATAATCGTTCGGATGTCAACTTCAGATTAACAACAAATAACTAAATTGCAGAAAATAGAGAATAGTTAGAGTTATATTTGAAATTCTATTGTATCTAGGTAAACAAAACATGACATTTCGTGGKCACGATGAAAGCTTAAAATCAAAGAATCGTGGTAACTTCTTGTCACTTATTAAAGTTTTATCAAAATACCATGCACCTTTGGCTATTCACTTAAACAAAATAGAATAACATTTCTCTCTGGTCAAACGCAAAATGTTATGCTTCAAATAATGAGTGATTTTATAAGGTCAGTCATATTAAAAAAAGTCAAGGATGTTAGAATGTTTGCAGTTATTATACAGGGTGATTCATTTAACGTAAARCACTCAATATTTCTCAAAACCATTTACTTTTTTCAAATTTTTTTTTTTTTAAATTTTAGATCCATGCTGTTCTAGAACTATATAATTTTTTTTTATTTTTCACTCCCATATTTATTAGGTAAGCCACTATCAACTTTTGATTTTCAAATGACAACCTATAATTAAAATTTTATAAACTAATAAGKCTATTTTTTTAATGAATTTTCACGTTTAAATTTTCATTTTTCGTTAATCCGTTCAACTCAAAGTTGAATGGTTTTGGGTGGTTTTTGTGTGTAAAATATGTGTCAAAATAAATACCAGAAGTATAAGTACCTAATAATAATATTTAACTTTTAATACTTTTATAAAGACCAGAAGCCATAAACTCATACGTAATAAATACGATAACGTTCAAGCGATCGATCCAAAGGTCGATTATTTTTTATTTAGTAGTTAGTTATTAGTTAATAGCACGGATATAGATAATATCTTAGTCCACCGTGGTTGATTGTTATATTTCATGTTTATTTTGAGTACCTACCTATATCAAGTATCAGATGTCGGATGTAATCATTGAACTATATGATAATTATCATATAGTTCAATGGATGTAATGCGGTAAATGGTGGTTAAAGTATTGAACAAAATTGACCAGCTGTTGTATCTATTTTCTATAATTTAAAATAAGCCGTTAGTTAATCAATCGTTATCATTTCATTTGTTTCCCTTTTTCCATAAAGTTCTACAATACATAATTTTTTAAAACTTATTAGTTATTTTTCAAAAATAGGCTCATATAATAATTTAATATGTGGTTACTTCAGTGGCCTTTGATTATTGATACTAAGGATTTCATGCATGTAACAATGTAGGTTTAACCTTTCACAATATAATTTGAGTGAAGTGAATGTATAAAGAAAATTAGATAGTATGTGTGTACCTAACTCAATTGATCTTTTTATGCAGACTACCTCCTTCTAAATGATGTGCACAGTTTTATCAGTAAGTAAACTGTTTAACTCAAGTATTAAGTAGGCATTAGAAAATATATGTATTATAGAATTATAATACATTTTCTTTTTATTTTAGTTGAATATAATGGACAACAATGAAGTATAAGTACCTATATTAACATAATTACATAAATAGGTACTTACTAAAATAAATTAAAATAACAACACAATAATACATTATAGATAACTATTGATATTTTAATAAATGTTCAAAATTATTACCATCCATATCCAAACAAAGAGATAACCTTTAGTCACTTCACTAGTTGTAGCTTTTTTTAATACTGATGAAGGTATTTTATTACATATTTCAATRATCCTATTTTTCAAATCATTAATATTATTTGACTCCTCTTTATAAACTTCGCCTTTTAAAAATCCCCAAAAATAAAAATCAAGAACAATCATATCTGGAGAACGTGGTGGCCAAAGAATTGTTGAGCCTTGAGTTCCTATCCATTTACCACCAAAAATATCATCTAATAAAGCACGTACAGCTAACATATTATAAGCTGGTGCACCATCATGTTGCCAAATCATATTAAGGCGTTGATCTAATGAAATATCTTCAATTAACAATGGCAGTTCGTTTTTCAAAAAATTAAGATAACTGTTTCCATTTAAATTATTTTCAAAAACATACGGACCTACCAATCGATCATTAATTATGCCACAACATACATTTATACCCCATCTAATTTGTTTATTACATTCATTAAAATCCAGTAGGGGTTCGTATCGCACCAATAGTGAGTATTGCAGTGGCGTATTTAGGATTTTCTTGAGGGGGGGGATATAGAAATTAGAAATGAACTTTTAAAGAAACCAGTCATGCAAGACTTTTTCTTTTGCTAATCACTAATTTTTAATCAATTATCAAGTTCAGGTATTTTAAAAGACAATATTAATTAATGAATAGCATTTAAAAAGTTTAACATAATAATCTAATGAATACAAAATATATTTATAGATTAATATAGCTTTATAATAATCAACACAATGAAATAAATTTATAAAATATTTAGCTAATTAATAATATGTTCTGTAAAAATGTAAAATATCATATAATTATATTGATCATTGATATCTATTATCTTCATAGGTTTATACAACACATATAAATCTATAATTAAATAATATGGCCATATTTATTTGCAGTGATTTTACAAAATCAACTCCAGTCTTCTATTTTTCAGACACAATTCTTCAATGACTTCATCTGGTGTAATCTTTGTTTCTGTATGGCATGCTAATAGAGCCAATCCATTCAGTCTAGTCTATAATAACAATGAAATACACAATTTTATAAATATTTTCAATAACATATCATAATTTAAAATCTGCAAATTTACTTCATTCATACTATTCCTGAGATAAGTTTTAATTCTTTTTAGATTAGAGAATGAACGTTCAGGAGTTGTTGTTGACACTGGAAGTGTACAAAATATTTTTATCAACATATAAATGTTGGGATAAAATTCTTGATCACAAATTTCTAAGGCCTGTAATCCTGAACTAAGAATGATATTATCTGTGATTAGTTTTGTTTTCCACATGTTGAATTCGGCTATGCTATTGAATTTATCTACAACGGGTGAATATATGTTCACAAGCTTATTAAATTGTTCTCGGTCATTTATTTCCAGTGGCAATGTCTGGGTTTTAAAAATGCAATCGAACCCTATAATAGTAAATGTCAAATAATAAAATTTTTTGGCAAATTAGTTATTTATATAGCTATTCAGTATTTGTACTTATACTATAATTTATAATAATACAATATCAATAGGRATTTGTTTTTGAAATTATAGTATRAAATATGTAATAACTAGTTTATACCTTCAAAAATACTTTTATGATTTATAAAACGCTCAGTAAGTTGTGATGTAAAGTAATCAATATATGGTAAAAATACTGTTACACAATAATATTGTTCGGTAGAATGGTTTTGTAAATTTTGATTAGCTCTATGTGTTTGTTTAAAAGAAATTCTTTTCTCTAGCAATTCAATTTCAACATCATCTGCCATTTTCTGTAATATATTAATAAATATTTGGGGGGTTTTATGATGTAGGTACATTATAAATATTATTTTGAATATTAAACAATATATTAAAATAAAAGATTACTTTGACATTATCATAGATAATTTTGAATTCTATTTCATTATTTTCTCTGATGCATTTTAAAGTAGCTATTACATTTTCTACTATGCGTATTGTCTTTTTCAAAYCAATTTGAACTTTTTGCAATTGTTTACACAATGGAAGTCCATAAGAAAATAATACCTAAAACAAAATTTAAAAATAACACAATATATGTATCTAAATTTATATAATATAAATATTATCTGAACCTTTATAACATTTATAACATTCAAGGAAATCAAAAATTCTGAATCTTTTAACGCTTTCTGAAGCATTCCAGCATCTGTTGATTCTTTCCAATCAGATATAATGTCTAATGCATTGAGAACAAATGAAAATAGTTCAGAAACATAATTTACAGAATCATAACGTTGAATCCAACGAGTAGCACAAAGCCGTTTGAGTTGTTTTACTTGAGGTGCATTATTTGAATTCTCAATGGTATTTAAAAGAACAGAATTTCTTTTAGGGGTATTGAAAAAATTATAAACTTTTTCGATCACCCCAAAACAATTTCTGATTGGTTTTATACCACTAGCCGTTGAAACAGCTAAATTCAGCGAATGTGCTGCACAATGTACATATATGACGTTGGGGTATTTAGATCTCACAATAGTCTGTACTCCTTTAAATCGACCAGCCATATTACTGGCCCCATCATAGCCTTGGCCATATAAATAATTGCAATCAAGTCCACATCTGTTTAAGCCTACCAACAAAAATTTTTTTTTAAATAATATAAATAAATAAAGTGAATAAATAAATCATAAATGTGTTATTTACAATTACCATTTAATATTGAATTAGCCAAGTCATTACCAGTCAAGCTATCAATTTCAAAAAACTGTAAAAAGTTCTCTTGCAACTTATTGTTTTCATCAATATATCGAACACATACACTGAGTTGCTCTTTAGTCGAGATGTCGGTTGTTTCATCAGCCAAAACAGAGAAACATTTAGATTTATTAATCACATTAACTAGTTTCCTTACTAAAATTGTGTTACATGACTGAATTATTTCATTTTGTATAATTGGACTCGTATATTTATTGCGTTTCCCTGAACCCTCAAGTACATTACGTAAAAAAAAGCGGGTATGTCGTGTATGTCGCTCTGCTGTACAGTAGGTTACAAGTGGG